CTCTAACACATACAGAACTAGAAATACAACGAAGGAAGGTCTGCAGGCTTCAAGAGGAACACCCATTTATTCTACTTCAGTAAAGACCTAAAGGTCCACAACAACTTCCAGTTGTATCTCTACTTTGGAAGTTTCTCGCATGCACTCAACATTTTTACTTAGCATATTTTTAGAAGATGTGAGCTGAGGACAAAGCTACCATAGCTTCAAATACCCTGCTACTTGTCCTGAATGAAGTACTATGGCCTGCATGAATATCACATATCAGAAAAAGTGATTATGGGCTTCTGCACTGTAGTGGTTATTTTTCTCATACTTAAAACCAAAAGTATAACAACAGGTTTTGCAATAGCACTTCACACAAAATAATCTTGCAAGAAAAAAGGTCTGTAAGGCATAGAACAGTAAATTACAGCCCCATGGCAGGGATTAGATGGCATTATTTCAGGTATACTGGCAGAAGAACTATTGCTATCCACAGAGGATTCTGACAAGTTAATACCTCACATACAAGCCAAGCAGAACTGCCTAATTACTAGAATAACTGTGTCAGTGAGTGATTCTTGAGTTCATAAAAGTGTATTATTAAGCATGAAAATTTGTATCAACTATACTTGTTACATTTAAGATGCACAACCAAAAGATTCATTTCTACAGTTAAATGTATTCATTTCTTATTAGATTGCAGCAAATAATGTTGGTTTTATTACAGATCTGTATTTCACAGATTTCCCCCCAAAAAAATGCTTTCTGTAGAAGTAAAAATATATTTGTATCATTTCCAAGATGATTAGCTGGGGGCCCTCACTCTAATCTATACTGTGAAATCTTCTCTTAAATCTGGGCAATCCATTTTTAAATAAAACACAGGATAAAGTATTTATGTTGTGAAGAGAACTCCCCAAGCAAAATTTGTTTGGGTTGAAAGACTTCCCACACTACCTTTATCTTGTATTGTGCTTTCCTTGGCTTTCTAAACCTTTTAACCTATGTCACAATTTAATAATCACTATTTAATAATTATAATCATTCCCTTATTAACTGGGTATTTCTTTTCGTTCTTCTAAGGCACCCTGTAGTTCAAGACAAGGAAATCTCTTTGTCGATTAGTTATTTAAGACCAGCAACAATAACTATGCTGGAAAGAAAGGTGCTTTGAGAGGATTACATAGAGCTAGTTCTCAACAGCACCAAGCCGAGAGCAGCAAATTACAAACCCAAGTACTTCATTGCATGTAACCAAATTGGCTGGTTGAAATGCTAATTGCCTTTCAGCAAAGCTAAAGGCAGACAGGGGACCCTGTGCTTCAGAGAATGACATGCATTTTTTACCCCACTTCTGCACCATTGTCTTGCTGAGAATTATTCAAAATCTATTCATAAAGGTAGCTCTTTTCCTAACCTTTAAAAATGTGGGAAATTTCTAAAGCTCTGACCAATACCTCAGATCTGTTGGACTGCCAAACCCATAACAGATGGCTGAATTAAGGCCATGTTAAATCCTTAATGAAGCAGAGCTTGAAACAATTCAGAGCAGTAATGTATTGGACAAGTCCAGGATAAGTGACTGAGGAGAAGGAAGTTTCTTCTGCCACCTGAAAATGAGAATCATAACTGCACTCCAACTAATAAATCTATACTAGACACAAAAAGAGATAACCAAACAAAAATCTCTTGGTATATAAAAAGGTATTGCTATAAGATTCTAGAGGAAATTTTGTCTTCAACTTGCTAAAAAACCCCACAAACACAAAAGCTGCAATGAACATGGAAAGCATCTTCTCCGTTCAATTTTGCTAGAGAAATTCAGCCTATCAAACAAGCCTTTTTGAATATGAACAACTTTATCTTAATAGCAACCTTGCTTTGGACTTCCAAAGTATTTCACTAAAGGGAATTTAAACAACTTTAACTAGTTTTATAGGAAATACTAATAAGCCAGTCTCTGAAACAATGTTCTTCATATTTTAAGCACATTTCAGAACTCCTGGTTTCCAAATTCCTTCTGCAGACAGCCACATGTTCTCATGTAAGGAGTAAATTCAATCTTGAAAATGTTTATTGACACAAAGTGTTTTCCAGTGAGATTATTCACCCAGAGAGTGATTTAAGCAAGTGCAGCTGTGCAGAAACAGTATCATTTATGATTCAATAACTTTTTTTCAGAGTAAAAAAATGTTACAGTGGGCCCACCTGGAATGAGATAAATGGCCTCTAACATCGATTCTTCCTGTCAATCTTTTTTTCTTTTTTTTTTTCCTAGGAAACAGTAATATAGCTGCTATTAGGCAGACGATGAGTCTTGAATTTCTAGGACTGCAGCAAATGCCTACAGCTGACAGAAATGGTTCTGTAAGCTTCAACTTGATGGTGGAGATGTTACATAGCACCTGAGTCTTAATACACATTGAAACAAGTATTCAGATACTACGTATGTTTATTTCTAGTGAAGAAAAGTGTTATATTCACCATTATACACAACAGTGACTGTACCTAAATCAGCCAGTCTCGGAGAGCCGAAACACAAGCACAAATTGTACGAATGAGTAAAACCAATCAATAGGATTACACATTTAAAAATAGTTATATATGTGATTATACCTTTAGGAGGTCAAGGCCTAATAGTCCCTGAGCAAGGAATTTCAGCATATTCTTTATGTTTTCTCTCACCTACCCACACTTTTGTATTTCTTACTGAAGAACTAAATTGACCCAATACCCCAAGCACACTGGAAGAGGCTGGCCAAGAAAGAAAAAAAATCAGAGAGCAGGGTTATCCAGCAATGAAATGAAGCTAAATCGTCTCAGATTCCCCATCTCAAATACTACCAGGAGTCAGACATACAGTTTACTGGTCTGATGCTTTCAAAACCACCTCAGGCTTTAAAACTTCAGACGTAGCTGAGATAAATTTTAATTCTCCTTTTCCCTGAAGTGTGATGCAAGGACATACTTTTCCATCAAGATTTCAGTGAAACATTCTGAAATTAAAGTTTTCCCAATCTTATAGACCACTGCTATGTACTTTTAAAAGTACAATAATTAATAATCACCCCATCACTACCATTGTGCAGTCCCGAACAACTATAGTAGTTGTGTAACAATACCAAAGGTGATTTGTGGGTCATCAGTATTTTTCTCCCAAACTGCCATAAATTTTTTGTCCCTGATGACTGAGATCCTTACAGCCCTCTGCAGGGGTATTATTCTTTAGTGTTACACACTAAAGATACATGTTTTCATAGCTTTTCCAGTATTTCAGTTACAGTCATCATATTCACGTGTTAAGGAAAATACGTTTGTGAGCACCAGCACACTTAAGCACTTTTATTTTTTTTAATGGAATTCCAAAAGCAAATAAAAAAAACCATGGAAGACAGTAAGTTTAAATAACAAAAATCCATTTATATTGGAAGTTTTAATGACAGGTTATGATTTAGACTTGATTCTGAAAACTTCATTCAAATAAAGCTCACAACAATTTCCAAGGGAAGTATTGCACTGCAGGTTTGAATGCATATGGATCAATCTCATTCACTAGTATCAACTCTGTAAAACTCATCCAGTATGACTTTTCAGCCTCAAAAAATGCTGACAGCATAAATAAACTGCCCAGCACTAGTTCTCACGAAAGCAAATATCATTTTTCCCATTGATTTCCATGTGACAAGGACACAGAGTTAGGAGCTAATAAGCATGTGCTCCCATTATCGATGTTAATTAGTTCACTCATGCAAATTTAGTAAATACCATTGATTTCTTCGTGTAAAGCTATTAAAACACAAAAATGTATTAGAGAGCAAGTAAAGCACGAAACTGCATGTTAGAAATTAATAACAACATAAATATTAGTAATAACAAATTAGAAATCAAAAATTGTACACCCTCGAAAAACGTTAGCTTTTACATTATCAAGTTATTTGTCCATTTCAATTCTAAGCTTGATATGACACAAATTATTTTATTTCCTCAGGTATCCGGTTCTCCCTTCCACATAGAAACACTGAATATATTTAGTAGGAGGAAGCTTGTTTTAGGTTTAAGGGACAGGCAGACTAAATACATCACATTCTACCTTCAGTTACTAAATTGCCATCATGGCAGATTCTCAAAATGCTTATTATTTAACTGACTCATTCTGGAAGATGTGTGCAAAGTATTATCAGGAAAAAAAAAAACAAAAACAAAAAACAAAAAAACCCCAACAAACAAACCAAAACAAAAAAAACCCAACAAACCTTTCAGCTTCCATATAATGAATAGGGCGTTTTAAACTCACGTTATTTCACATCTGCACTATAAAGCGATTACAGGCTCATTAAAAAACAATGATTGATGTTTGGCAAGCAGTTCCGTATACATTTGATCTTAACTTTATCTGGGCTAGCCAGGGTGAATTATGCAATGTCTTACACAGAATCTGCATATCAAAAGCAAGAAGTATGAGCAGTATTTCCAACTTACATGGCATATTTTAATTATAACTCGTAAGGAATATAACAGTTTGGAATGAGTTTCATTCCTTATCAGGTGACGATTTGAAAAATTCATTCTTACTTTGAACTCGCTCTCCTTTGCAAAACAGAATGCACACGCAGCTCCTCCACTTCTTTTATCTTCACCTAATTTGAACAGTCAAATTATGTTCTGTGCATTTCTGAGAGTTAAAAATTGCCAGCTAGGATGCTTCAGACTGAGTTTCATCCTGATATGATGCCCCGAGAATAGGATTTTCCATTGGAAATACTATTGTCTCCACCTGCCCTGCTCTGCAGAGCAGAAAGAGGAGCTGCTGGAACAACAGAAACCTTAGCAGACTCCGACTATCCAGCAGCCGCTCAGGGGTGAGCCACACGCTCGCTGTCTGCCGCTGCTTCAGCCCTGTCCCTGCTGCAACAGGTGCTGCTGGCAGAACCCTCCGGCCGGACGTCGAACACCTCTGTGGCTGACAGGATGCTCCAAAGCAACTCCCACCTCAAACAGAGAGACAACAAACCTACCTAGACCCGGGGACATGGACATCCGCGTCTTCTGGACTCAGCCAGCCGCCTGCACGCTCTCTGTCACTCACGCATTATGCATTCCCCTCTCCTACTCCTCCCTCCGCTCCACGCAGCGTCCAGCACTCTCCTCCCTCTCCTGACTCCTGCTGCCTTCCCACTGCTGCGGAGATAAAAGGGGGGTGGGATGGAAGAGGACAGAATTTTTTAAAACCCTGGCAAATGCTCCTGCGCTGCTGTGCTGGAGACAGAGCTGGCCCCTCCAGTCGCTGCCTCAGCGGTGTTTCCACTCAGCGAGGGCTGCTCAGGTTTATTACTGGAGGCAGCAAAACTGGCACGTTTTATCACTGGATTATGACAGATTTTGGATTCAAGCCCTGAGCCGCACCCGGACATGCAGCTCATCTTAATTCACAGCTATTCAGTGCTCTGCAGGGAGAAACAATCTCCAGTCCGAGATCAAGCATTCCGGACTCAGTAATTTCTCTAATATCAAATTCACATTTTGTGGTCACCACCATTCCAAGTAAATCCTGAGCCACAGCAGAGGTACAAAGACACAAAGGCGGCAACCCGGATCTTGATAGTGTAGGCCCCCAAAATCCTCAATTCTCCAATTTAATGGGAAACAAGTGTCAAAATTCCTACTTACCCAATAAATGTCAATACATTTAAGCCCCAAAACATAGAAAATACAGAATTTTGACGGGGTTTCACTTAGTCCCTGTGGGAATACAGCAGAAGATTGGTGAGGAGGACTGCAAACACACTCAAGTGAGTCACAGTTGGGATGCTGAAAAGGACATATATCATGCCAATTGTTGTACAGCTTTGTGTGCTTGACGGGTAGAATGTCTGCATTTAGATAGCACAGGCCTGCAATAGACTCAGAGGCACCTCACTGAACATCCTTGAGATTCCTGCCCTGCTGTGGGAAAGATCAGAGCTCAGTGGAAAAGTACGCCTGCAAAAATCCCTGTGTGGCAACTAAGGCACGGACTCTCCATTGAAGTGCAAAAGGAAAGACCCTTTATTATTACAATAGCACATACTTATGCTCTCGCCAAAGCTCTTACTTCATGATTAGCAAATCAGCAATCAGACAGCTATCAATCTTTCCTCCTATCAGCATAGGACCACGCTAACACACGCCGTACAAACCAATCCCCTTCTTGTTCATGCGCTGTTCACGCGGTGGTAACTTCTCACAGTTTAATACTTTCCTGCAGTTCAGTGTTGCAGCTGTCCGTTGTTTTTCCCTGACACCTTGGCACAACTTAACTGCTTCTTATCTATCTTCCAAGGCCTGTTTTCCACCAAAGTCCAGCAGTTTCTCAGAGGCTGTGTAGGGCCAACAGGCCGATGTCTCCTACATCCCTGATATACAGGCAAAAGCAGCCAGTTTCAGATTTTTCTTTCTTCTCCTTTCTGGTGAGCAAGCTCCATGGTACCTGCATCCCTGCCTGGGTGCTGCTGAGGAGATCCCTCAGGTCATGAGGTAGTGAGAATAAATTTATTCTTTGCATTTCATCCATGGTTTTGTGGTTGTTCCTGCGTCCTGCCTGTGCTGGCTCACACCGTCCCATTTACAGAGTCTTCACTGTATTTCCAGATCCTGTGAGATAGCTACTAGATTTTATAAAGTGGAAATGCTATTGCAAACAAATGAAGCAGCGGTGGCACAATTTCATGTGGCTGAATCCAGTCAGATCCATTAACACTCACACACTCCCCACAAATCTCATGGGAATTGAAACCATTCTATCAAATTTTTTAAAAGCATTGATTCCAACTCCAAGGAAATCCAACTCCCAGTACATTCCTTGTCTACGACAGAAAACATATATCAGGTATTTCAGCTAGCTGGATCCTTTCATTTTTTTGGGTCCCAAATACTCAGACTGTTCTGTCAAAACAGTACTCCTAAGTAGGCCAAAAAATCATGCCTCTGACCCAACTCAGCGCAAAAGCGATGTAACAATCAACATACATCTAACGTGAAACTTGACGCATGCATTTTTTAAAATCCTATATTGCTTGTTAGTATTGAATAAACAGAATCTATTGTAAATGCCTATTTTAATACAAATTAAGTATTTAGAAACAAACCCAAACATAACTCTAGCTTAATTCTAGATAAGCTTTATTTCACAAACAGTACATTTACAGAAAGGGTGTAAGGAAAGGCTAAGCACAAAACAGGGTTCTGCTCTGAATGATAGCAGAACAAGTTTTACCTTTACTATAGTTGACTGAGAAGTCATGCATCTTTCTTTACTTTTAATTTATTTGGAGCATATGGAAAATGCGATCATACTGATAAGAAATCAGAGAGAGAGGAAGCACTGATTCTGTTGAGGCTAATATAATCTTTGCATATAGGAGGAAGGAATACAGTGCAGAAGCATTAAGGCAAAAAAAAATATGACAGGATCTAGAAGACTCTGTGCCTTCTGATGGCATTAGCCTGGTCACTACAGCAGTACTGTGTTGAGTTACAGTGATCACAATTCGGGAATAACACAAACAAACAGGAAAAGGCAAAGAAGATGCTGGGGAATGATGGTTTGAAAAATTGCTTAGTAAAAGACTTAAAGACCTCAATGAAAACCAGTGCTTCAAAGTAGAAGGCATTCCACCTAACATCAGCCATCCAGTCTAAGCCAGTCACACAGTAGGACGGTATGAACTACCTTTAAGAGGTGCTTATTTCACTCCTCTGACTAAACAGGGAGTCCAAGTGACTGTCTCAGACTACTGCCTAAATTATGAGTAATGACATTAGGTCAGTGTTAGGTAAGATGAATCTCTGGATGCACTCTGCATACAGCTACAGAGAAAATGAATATTGATAAATAAAAATCTGCAGTATAACAAATAAGGACATCAATGATCTAACATGTAGACACAAAAGTAGTTATTAATAATCAGAATAAACTTCAGTTCTTGAGAGCGAAGGACACAATCCACTGGAATTACTCACCAAAAAATATAAATAAAATTAAAAAACAAAAACAAACAAACAAACAAAAAAAACCCCACAAAAAACAACAGGTGTACTTGTTTTTCTTCTAAGAAGCTATGCTGTGCACCTAAAAGAAATTCAGGTAGATGTGTATGATAATCTGTGTTATATGTCTGACCACCTCTTGCTGTCGTCCACCTGAGTATATTTATGAATTTTTTGATCAATACTTCATTATGCATTATTCCCATGCACCAGCTCCAGTATTTCTGTACCAAAGAGAGCAAGAAGCAGTCCTTCAAAGGCCCATGTTATTAGCTGCTGAATTTTGCATTTGACAGTGTATTAGCATGACAGAGAAGTAGTATGTTTTTCAATACCATACTGTTATTGTTTTCCTATCTCAGCCTCAAAATCTAGATCCCATATGGTTTTTCCTCTCCGGATCAACAGCTGGAAAGGATACTTGAGGTATAAGATTCTTCTTACAATTTATTCCATAATGTTGTTTCAGCTTATAGAAATTACCTCACGTTGTCCTTTTGTTGTCCAGTTTCTGTGGGAAGTTTGGCTCCCACCAGCAGCTATCAAGCTGCTCAGTATCAGAGGGGCTGCCTTAACAGTCATCAGTTCTCAGTTACAGCAGACCTGAGCACATTAAAAGTTGCTAATTACTGAGCTGGAAAACAAAGGAAGAATGAGAACTCAGACTTGGACTCTAAGCTAATTCACATGGCTACTTTCATGGAGTCTGTCAACAAAACTCCATTCAGATCCAAAATGACCACAGCTTTTGCTACTCTCTCCCACTCAACACGCAATACTCCACATTTTCTCTCGATTCCTGAGGATTTCTCTTTTTTTGTTGTTGGTTTTTTTTTTTTTATTTTATTTTGTTTTGTTGTGCCGCTCCACAGACCTGTGGTTCCTTTTGTTACACATGAGGATGAGACAGAGCTCCCACAGGATTTTGCCATGGTGGTCCTCAACCAGCTGGAAGGTTGTTGGTGACTGACACGGGACACTCCATCTGCACTTTTAACAACTCAGCATGCTGCCCACACAGCACCCTCAGCCCTTACAACTGTCAGGGATAAACAATCAGGGCTGGTATTGGACCTACAATAGATCTGGCATTGCACGGAACTATGCCTCCAGGTCAGCCTTAACTGCTCTTTTCAATAAAAGCAGTAAATAAGGTGTAGTAAGTACACCCCTCAATTCTTTGTTTGTTTGGATTTCCTTTGTTTTGAATTAATTAAAACTCTGCAAGTTAAAAATGGCTCTGCTGCAAGTAAACCAATATTGAAAGCAGCAACAACAGAATCAATGGACTCCAGTTTGTTTGTTTGTTTTGAAATCTTGCCTTTTCCCTTTATTGGCATCATCTGAAAGGAAAGACCAGAGAAGAGGGAGTTAGGAGAAGAAACAAATCCCTGAGAAGGAAAGCAGGACTTAAAGGAGCAAGAAGCAAAAAAATCCAAACAAAGAGCTTCAGAAGGGAGTGTTTTCTTGTTTACGTTTCTGTTTCTATTAAGGAATATTTTTGTGCTGTATGAAGGCCATTTGGTTTTCAATCACAGGTATTGCAATCTTAATCTGCTAATATTAGAAAGCAAAAAATAAATGCTGATAATAACATTTTCTGAATATCCATAAATGTCACTAAAATCGAGAGCTGTTTTTACCGGTAGCATCCATGCTTCAAGATTTTGACATCCAACTAAACATCCAACTAAGCACCTAGTTGGATGCATGTGGCAAACAAGGAGATTCTGAAAATGTCGAGATTTTGGACCTGCACAGAATTCCACATATCGCCTCCTCTGGTACTTCAGCTGAAGCAGATTGAACTACGCAGAATGAGGAACATTAAGCATGTGCATGGCTCTTTCACAGATCAATCCTTAATTAAAATACACCATACATGAGTTAAGTTCTCTTCTTTCCTGTTTATTAATTAATCACTTCCAACATGACACAACACCTCAAAAATACACAACATCCATCAGACACTGTTCTGGTTAGTTCTAGTGTACAGGAAGAATACTGAGGCTGATCTTGCTCCTCTCTTCACAGACTGACAAGATACAGATTATTTTCTTGCAAGAAATTCACGTGGGTTTTGTTGTTTGTTTGTTTTTAATGGATTTTCTTAAAATGATGGTCCATGGTGGTGAGCGTTTCTACAGGACAGA